CGTCGTCGGTGCTGCTGCGGAGAGTATCCTGCGGGAACGGCCTCCCGACCCTTCCAGAAAACGTTTGGTCGACTGTCCGTTGCCCCGGCTATCCTTCAAGCGAGCAAATTTCTCCCGGACGACGACGACGACCGATGGTCACTTGCCATTTCCAGGCGGGCAAAAAAGGAAAAGAAAAAACCAACAACCACCCTTCGCCGGCTTTCAGATCGATTATTATCCCATTCCTTTTATTCTCTCGGACTTAATTAGAATCGAGGCGACCGAGTTCGTTTCGTGACCGACCTGATTGTTTACCGCAAATGAATTTGTCATTCGAATGTCATAAAGCGGAATCGTTTGCATGCCGTGATTTCATCGATAAGATTCTCGTCTTGTCCTTTTTAACAGAACCGCGTCACGAGAACTTACATTCTATGCTTAGCAACCTTTTATATTTCTTACTTTTTATATCTGCATTACAACTATATACAAGTAAATACGTAATAGTATTAGACCCTTTTTGGAAAATAACAATTCGATTTAAGGGTGGTGGTGAATGAAGACGAGTCGAGGTCGTTGTTGTTGGCACCATATGGCGTGGACATCTAAAAGCTGCAGTATTTTTATGTATCAATTGGCTCGGGGGTAATTGAGACTTGGGGATAGGGCGAAAACTGTGCGGAGAGGGTGCAAATGTCACGGTCCGATGTCGTCGTCGGTCAAGTCGAAAACAGTTAGATAGATATCGAAGGGGTGGAGGGTTAGATAATACAACTAATAGAGGCGTAACAGTCGAGTGGAAATACGTTAGATCGATTGGTCCTTTTTCGATTAAATTAATTAAAAAAAAATAAATGATTGTAACAAAGATAAATAATAAGGTGTGCTCATAAAGTTAGGTTACTTTAAACGTTTAAATTGTATCAAAAGGTTAAACAATGGGGGGCACCCCATCATAATAATATAATATAATGAGGAGGAAACGTAAAACGCGCGGGGACCCCGTGTCGGCGGCGACGACGTCGGACATAATGAGGGGACGATGAAGAGTAGAGGTCGTAAAAGCGGAACATGCCGGTTAATAAGTATAAAGTCGGAGGGCTTTAAATTCGCGCACCAGCTACACCTTTTATCGACACTTTTAGCGGCCAGTCTGCTCGTAATTAGACGATTTGTATGAAAATATTCGCGAGACGTTAGAAAATAAAAACCTTCAAATGCAGAACACCCATATCGGATGGAACGAGTGTAATGCAATTAATGTGGGTATTTTTAAAAGTAAATTAATGTAAGGAATTCCTCTTTGTATTTTTTTACTTTTAATTATATATTGTTTTAATCATAGCTTAAAATATGATCTTTTAGCTTCCATTATGTAAAAAATAAAGTTGGTGCGCCTGAAGATGAACAAAATCAACAAAAATCTGTCAATTTTGACTAATTTTTCAATTTTTCGTTTGTGTTTGGGTTGCATTGGAGTCAAGTTGGCTTATTTGTTTACGGGCTTGATTAGGTGACTTGAGAGTTGCATAACTTATTTGTTATGATCCAATGAGGTTGGGTTAGCTAAAATTGTTTTGTGGTTCCGTTGCTGAAGGTTGGTTTTGGTTTTTTAGAGGTTGTATGGCGTTGTAGTTATGTGACTGTGTTAGAATATTTGGACCCATCCCAAGCACGAGCTAAATTTGAACTATAATAAGTTGCTTATTAAAATACTTTAGAGGTGAGTTACATTATGATTGATACATCAATATAAAATCGTCAACGTTGCATGATTCTAGCGCCTCGCCCGCAAGCGATCTTGACGATGTTCGATAACATAGTTCATATGATATCTTCGAAAATGAACCAAACTTAAAACATTTGTATAAGAAATCGTTTATCCTCACTTCGCCGAGGTCGCTTGCGGGCGAGGCGCTAGATTTTCCAAATTTAACGACTTTTTGTTGATTTATTAAATGCAGCGCCTCGTCCGCAAGCGACCTCGGCGATTTAAGACGAAATCGTTCCTTATATATCAGATACAAAGTCTCTTAAAAAAATATTTATCCTCAAATCGCCGAGGTCGCTTGCGGCCGAGGCGCTGGTTTTGATACATCAATATAAAATCGTCATCGTTGCATGATTCTAGCGCCACGTCCGCAATTAAGAAGCCGAGATTCACAGTTGTTCCTTAGACAAAAGTTATATCTATTAATAAAAAAATGAACAAGATCTGCCATTTTTTCCATGAATTTGATTAATTCTACAATATCTCAAAAAGTCGAAGTGATAGGTATAGGGACATGTACTAAAGATATGTAGAGAATTAAATTCTCTATTGGATAAGCAACTTTCGACTTTTTTGCAATTGAATATGGTAAAACAGTAGTCACATTTTTCAGCACCTCTATAAGATAGACCGATGTAACCATTGGCACTCTATTTAAAGATATTCAAACAGCAACTATTACAAAATGGCATTAAGAAGCCGAGATACACAGTTTTTCCTTAGACAAAAGTTATATCTATTAAAAAAAAAATGAACAAGATCTGCCATTTTTTGCATGATTTTGATTAATTCTACAATATCTCAAAAACTCGAACTGATAGGTATAGGGACATGTACTAAAGATATGTAGAGAATTAAATTCTCTATCTGATAAGCAACTTTCGATTTTTCTGCAATTGAATATGGTAAACAGTAGTCACATTTTTGAGCACCTCTATAAGATAGACCGATATAACCATTGGCACTCTATTTAAAGATATTCAAACAGCAACTATTACAAAATGGCATTAAGAAGCCGAGATACACAGTTTTTCCTTAGACAAAAGTTATATCTATTAATAAAAAAATGAACAAGATCTGCCATTTTTTGCATGATTTTGATTAATTCTACAATATCTCAAAAACTCGAACTGATAGGTATAGGGACATGTACTAAAGATATGTAGAGAATTAAATTCTTTATCTGATAAGCTACTTTCGATTTTTTTACAATTGAATATGGTAAAACAGTAGTCACATTTTTGAGCACCTCTATAACATAGACCGATGTAACCAATGACACTCTATTTAAAGATATCCAAGCAGGAACTATTACAAAATGGCAAAATGGCATTAAGAAGCCGAGATACACAGTTCTTCCTTAGATAAAAGTTATATCTATTAATGAAAAAATGAACAAGATCTGCCATTTTTTGCATGATTTTGATTAATTCCACAATATCTCAAAAACTCGGACTGATAAGTATAGGGACATGTACTAAAGATATGTGGAGAATTAAATTCTCTATCTGATAAGCAACTTTCGATTTTTTTACAAGTGAATATGGTAAAACAGTAGTCACATTTTTGAGCACCTCTATAAGATAGACCAATGTAACCATTGGCACTCTATTTAAAGATATCCAAGCAGGAACTATTACAAAATGGCAAAATGGTATTAAGAAGCCGAGATACACAGTTCTTCCTTAGATAAAAATTATATCTATTAATGAAAAAATGAACAAGATCTGCCATTTTTTGCATGATTTTGATTAATTCCACAATATCTCAAAAACTCCAACTGATAGGTATAGGGACATGTACTAAAGATACGTAAAGAATTAAATTTTCTATCTGATAAGCAACTTTCGATTTTTTTACAAGTGAATATGGTAAAATAGTAGTCACATTTTTGAGCACCTCTATAAGATAGACCGATGTAACCAATGGCACTCTATTTAATGATATCCAAGCAGCAACTATTACAAATTTTGACTTTCTAGCTCGATCAGTCGTTAAGAAATTCAGATTTAAAGAACACAGTGTTAATTACTAAAAGAGCTTCTAATTAAAATACCTTAAGTATCAACATATCTTATATTTTCCGTTTATAGTGTGGTAAATTTCATAAAACTTTTGTCTAAGGAAGGCTTCTTAATGACATTTATGTACTTTGCCGCTTACGTGGGACACCCTATATAATAAGATTGCTATATAATATTAAGAGACCTCGGCTATAACCTTTTATAACTAGCAAAAATACACCTTTCAGCCTCAGTATACAGTAGCTATTTATTTTAAGAACGTTGCAATGTCCAAGCCGAGGTCGCTTGCGACCGAGGCAGTACTTTTTTAACATCTCATCTTTATGAAGCTTCATTATAGAACCTCGTTCATAATCCTCCACGGTAATAAATTTTCATAAAAAGCAAAACTGCATCTGCCATGTCTAATATAACAATTTGTATAAGAAGTTAAATAAAAGCAAAATAAGTTAGTTTGCGTTTAAGTTGTTTAAGGATTATGGAGTTGGATTATTTTATGGTATTTTATGCTTTGTAATTGAGTTGGAATAATTTAGAAGTTGATTTAGGTTGGATAGAAATTCCTTAGGAGTTAGCTTGACTTACTTTGTACATGAGTTTAAGCTTTGTGGCTATATTGACAAATTTTGTAGATTGTAGGGTTAGTTACGTTATTGTAGGGTTAAATATAACATCTCAACTTTAAATTGCAATAAATTGGGGCCAATTAATACTTTATATTTTAAAAAAATTATATCATACAGATTTCGGAGATTCATCATCTTCAGGTTTTTCTTAATTATTTCATTTTTATCGCTAATTTAATACTTACCTTCACTATTTATTGCTCAAAGTTGTGTTAGGATAAAAATAAAAAAAAATTAATAAAACTCATAGTTTTTTTTTTATTTTCTATAGGAATTTTCAGTTTGTATTTCGTTTTGAAATTTTTAATATTCACAGATACAAGTTTAAATTGTACAATTTTGTATTTGCGGCCGTTGTTTTTCTTATTCCTTTTTCTTCGTCATCATCGTCGTCATCTTCGTCGCCTATTTTTATTTTATTTTAATCATTTTTTTTTTGTAATTTTCGTGTACAAACTACGCGCATATAAAAAAGGGAACAGAGAAGTAGTGGATCTACGTTTATTACCACAGCAAGCAGTTTTTTTTTTGTTTCTTTGTTATTATTTATTAGTATTCATCAAATATTTCCGTTTTTTCATTTTTAATTTATTTATTGCTTGGATCATCTCAAAAAACTTTCTTTTCTCAATTTATTGATTTTCTTATTCGTTTTATTATTACATAAATAAATTCCTATTGTACAGTTTATCTCTCGCGGAAATATACAGGGTGTTTTATTTTTATTTTTACTTTAATTTTTTTTACTTTTTACAAACGGCGCACACCTACAACGTCTACGAGAACTAAAACGAAACGTTTTCATCATTTCATTTCCATTTTTTTTTGTTTATTTACAAAACGTTATTTATAATATTTATACTTTATATAAAGTTATTTTATTTATAATTTTTAATCTTTTTCGTCGCCTTCCAACGATCTTTTTTTATCGATTAATTCATTTTTAATCCTAAATATTTACATGCGACTTTATTTTACTTTTATTAAATTAAATCGTTACGAATTAAACGAACAGGAACTTTTGCGGCGCGCTGTACATCCCTTACATCTTTACATAACCGTGTACAGGACGCGCAAAAAGAAATCGTACAGTCTCTCGGAAATCATTTTTTTTTATTAATTATGAGTTAAGTTTCTACTTTTTTGCTGCTTTCCTTAAGAAACAAAAAGGAGGAATACAAGCGCTGGGATGTAGCACCAACAAAATAAAAACGAAAAATTCGCTCTCACGATTTGTACTTCTAGAAAAAGCACTTTTTTACGCGATTAAATACATATTTTTGATTTTGGGGGGAATTTCGGTATTTATGAACTTTCGGAATTTATATTGCACATTTAAAATTTTTTTTTGTGATTTCAATTTTACTGATTTCGAATTTTTTCTCATCTTCAGGCAAGTTTTTGTATTATATTGCACTTTTAATCGATTTTTTTTTCAATTCCCCTCCAATCTCAATTTTTTAATCTTTTCATTACTTCTCTTAACTTTAATTTTTAGTCAATCTTAATCATTTTTGCACTATTTAGCGTCACAAACTTCCTCAGTCACTGAGTTTCCACCACCACCAACATTAATCTGCGTCTGTTTCACATCCAAACCGTTCACCATTTTCTCTATGCTCTTCAAATCGCTCGGCGACATCGACACTTCGTTATTCTTCGGGGATTCGCTTCCCTCGCGCGTTGTTCTTTGAGGTTGAGGCGACAACGAATCGCTCCTCCCCAATCTCGACCCGGAAATCGGCGAATTCGACAAGCTCCTATTCAAGTTATGTGAGGATGGCGTAACCGTTTCAAAAGCTGAGTTGCTATTACTCGTATTCGGCAAAGTGTACGGCGTAAACCGGTGGTGACTACTTTTTAGGTGATGATGATTCGTCGAGTGCATAGATGGCGATGTCGGCGACAAATGATGCGGATTCGGGTGCGCTAAGTTTGAGTAATGGGAGAATAAAGCCGGATGTTGCGCGGCCAACGCTAATTGGGCGTTAAATAACAAACTGGGATTAACCGGATTTGGGGATCCGGTGAAAAGGCTTAAAGGAGGGCCGAAAGGGGGCGCTCCATGTTGATACATCCCGGGAGGGTACAAATACGGTAATAAGTGGGGCGGGGGATGAATCGGGGGGCCAACACTTATATTCGGCGATGGATACTCCCCACTTTGCGTCGTTGACGGCCCCGCGGAGCTTTCTTTGGGGCTACTCGAGCGGGGTTTAAACGCGGTCGAATTCGGGGATTCACAGCTGCTATCGCTTCCGGAATCGTCGTGGAGACGTTTTCGCACCTCATCGTCTTGCGAATGAACCCCGATTGATGAGGAGATGGGGTGGTTTAGCCCACCGGGGCGCGGGCTATCCGCGGTCCCCACCACGTCTAATTCTGAATCATCGTTTTTGCTCACTGTGGTGCTGCTATCTGCTGACATCCTCGCGGGGAGGGGATGCGATGACGGGGGTTTTTCCAATTCCCCATGGCGAGTTGTACTGGCAAGCATCGATTGTCTGCAAAAAAAAATTTAATCAAACCAAACATTTCGAGATTTTACAATTTTTTGTTAACTACCTTAAGGCATGGTTGTAGGGGACTCTTGAGGTGACCGTACTACTACTATGCGAAAAACTGTGAACAAAAATTAAATTATTTCAAAATTAATTGGTATCAAAAGACCCCTACATTAAGGATTTTAGTAACCTTTAAATTTAGTGGTCGGATTCTATATGGGGTTTGAGTTATCCGCGATTTAAAATTTAAAGTGACCCTAAACGGTCCCTTTCGGGGGAATCGAAAATTAGAGGGCAAAATTCGCCCCATTTGTTTAAGGTCGCGGCCGATGAAGTCATCCTTTTTAATTTACACCCCCGATGTTGGCACCCCGCGGTTACTTTTAAATCCCCCTTTTTAGATTACTTATTTTTTTACTTACTTTTTTTCCCGTTTACCAGCTCCGGTATCCCGAAATCCCTTGGCGAACGGGTTGTTGTCGATTTTCAACTGAGTGATCTGCAACAAAAAAGCAAAATCAATAATTTTCGTTGTTTTACGCAACACGTGAAAGAAGAAGAAGAAAAAGTCGAAACTTCTTGTTGTGATGATATGGTGAGTTCTTGAAGGGGTCGTTAATTAGGCTAATTATCTTGAGTCTACGTGCGCTTGGCTAATTGGAAGAAGGCGGCCGTATTCGTATTTCGATTTCTTTTTTTGTTGTTGTTTCTGTTTGGTGTGCGCGCGGTCTACTCTCAACGTTTAATATTCATAAGTCGGTAATTAAACGAGTAATTAACGTGCGGCCGCGTTGTACCGCTGTCGGATTAAATTAAATACCCAGTGCGTCAGCGCCTGCTTGAATAATTCCATAATTAATCGTTACATGCGTTTTGATAATTATTTAATAACTATCATAAAAATGTTAAAATATGTAACACATTTTGTGCGTCGCTTTTCACACACATTATAAAACGTTTAGGGTAACATTAGAAATTGTTAAAAGCCATTAGGAACCATTCCCAAGTGGTATTAGGAGTAATTGCGAATTAGAGAGCCATTCGGAGCAAGTATTGTAATTAAAATATGTAACACATTTTGTATGTCGCTTGTCATACAGATTATAAAACGTTTAAAAACACAAAGGATAACATTAGAAATTGTTAAAAGCCATTAGGAGTAATTCGGAGCTATTCGGAACCAACCCAAAGTGATATTAGGAGTAATTATGAAGAATGATATGATGTATATAATATATATGTCTAACCTAGATGATATCAAGGGTTGATGATATTAAAAAGTGTCTAAAAACTTATATATCATTAATGCTGTTTAAATTGGGTTGATATTATAAAAAAGTGTCAAGTGTCAAAAAGTGTCAGAAGTGTCAAAAAATGTTTAAAATGTTAGATATCATTAAATATTGTTTAAATTGTCGAAAATATTAAAAAGGATTAAATTTGGTTGATGATATCAATGAAAAATGTTAAAATATGTAACACATCTTGTGTGTCGCTTTTTGCACACGTTTAGGAACACAAAGTGTAATATTGGAAATCGTTAAAAGCCATTAGGAGCAATTCGGAGCTATTCGGCATCATTTTAAAGTGATATTAGGAGTAATTGCGAACTAGAGAGCCATTCGGAGCAAATATTGTAATTCCAAAATTGCTTTTAAACTCAATTATGAAGAATTAAAAAGTATTATCATGTCAGCTCGATGTACGATGATATGATGTATATGATATATATGTCTAACCTAGATGATATCAAAAAGTGTCTAAAAACTTATATATCATTAATGCTGTTTAAATTGGGTTGATATTATAAAAAAGTGTCAAGTGTCAAAAAGTGTCAGAAGTGTCAAAAAATGTTTAAAATGTTAGATATCATTAAATATTGTTTAAATTGTCGGAAATATTAAAAAGGATTAAATTTGGTTGATGATATCAATAGAAATGTTAAAATATGTAACACATCTTGTGTGTCGCTTTTTGCGCACATTATAAAACGTTTAGGAACACAAAGGGTAATATTGGAAATCGTTAAAAGCCATTAGGAGCAATTCGGCGCTATTCGGAACCATTTCAAAGTGATATTAGGAGTAATTGCGAATTAGAGAGCCATTCGGAGCAAGTATTGTAATTCCAAAATTGCTTTTAAACTCAATTATTATCATCTCAGCTCGAAGTACGATGATATGATGTATATGATATATATGTCTAACCTAGATGATATCAAAAAGTGTCTAAAAACTTATATATCATTAATGCTGTTTAAATTGGGTTGATATTATAAAAAAGTGTCAAGTGTCAAAAAGTGTCAGAAGTGTCAAAAAATGTTTAAAATGTTAGATATCATTAAATATTGTTTAAATTGTCGGAAATATTAAAAAGGATTAGATTTGGTTGATGATATCAATAAGTGCCAGAAGTGCCAAAAAGTGTCTAAAGAGTTAAATATCGTTAAACATTGTTAAAATTGACAAAAATATTAAAAACTGCTAGATATTGTTTAAAATTGTTTCAAAAGTTAAAGTTTTAAAGTGTCAAAAGTATCAAAAAAAAAAGTTGGTCTCAAAAACTGATTTAGAAGGTGTTAGAAATGTTACAAAGTCAAGAGAGCTTAAATTATTAAAAAAAAGACTGTCAAAAATGTCAGATAACAACAAAAATTGCTCAAAATATCAAAAATAATAAAAAGGGTTGAAAAAGTAAGATGTCAGATATGTTAGAGAAAGTCAGTAATGTTAAAAATTATTGAAAGGTATTAAAAGTGCCAGAAATTTTGAAATTATCAAATATTCCAAAAATTTTAACATCAAAAAATGATTGTGTTGAATTGACAATATCAAAAATATCAGAGCTCTTAAATTGAAAAAAATGTCAGAACTATCAAAAAGAATCAGGTGAAATTAAAAAACGACAGAACTTATTAAATCAAATATGATTGTGTTGGGTTCAAAGTATTAAAAATGTCAAAAACAGTTTGGTAAGTATAAAAATTGTTCGAAACTATCAAAAATGTCAGGTTGAGTTGAGTTCTCAAATTCAATAAATTGTCAGAATTGTCAAAAACAGTCAGGTGTAGCTAAAAAAACGGCAGAAAACATCAAAAACTTAAATATTCTTGGATATATCCAATTTGTGCAGACATCAAAGATGATTGTGTTGGGTTGAGAATGTCAAAAAGTGTCAAAAATGCCAAAAACAGTTAGGTAAGTGTAACACTGCTAAAAATTATCAAAAAGGACAGGTTGAGTTGAATTCTGATGACGCACGGCTAAACCCAAAATTTCTAGTTGTATGTCTAGTATTAGTTCTAATTTTGCACTATCACTAGAACTAACGCAAGACCTAGAACTAGAATTATTCGGGTTTAGCCGTCTTGAGAGACGTGTGGCAAAATCCGAATGATTCTAGTTCTAGGTCTTGTATTAGTTATAGTTTTGTACTATCACTAGAACTAACACTAGACCGAGAACTAGAATCATTCGGATTTAGCCGTCTTAAAAGACGTGCGGCTAAATCCGAATGATTCTAGTTCTAGGTCTAGTGTTAGTTCTAGTTTTACACTAACATTATCACTAGAAGGAACACAAGACCTACAACTAGAATCATTCGTGTTTAGCAATACTGAAAGACGTCTGTCTAAACCCAAATGTTTCTAGACGGTTAACAACATCTAGAATTTTTCTAGTGTAATTTTATAGCTAAAAATAGATTATAGCTAAAACTTAAAAAAAAAAGAATGAAAATAAATGATTTGGTTATTAAACATGCTCGAGCATGTTCCCTCATAATCCTAAGATGCGATGAAATTAATCAGACTTTAAACTGCGCGGCGTCGTAATTAGCCCCCCTAAATAATTAACGTATCTGAAAGCGGCGAGAAAGCGCAANGTCTTGAGAGACGTGCGGCTAAATCCGAATGATTCTAGTTCTAGATCTAGTGTTAGTTATAGTTTTGCACTATCACTAGAACTATCACTAGACCGAGAACTAGAATCATTCGGATTTAGCTGTCTTGAGAGACGTGCGGCTAAATCCGAATGATTCTAGTTCTAGATCTAGTGTTGGTTATAGTTTTGCACTATCACTAGAACTAATACTAGACCGAGAACTAGAATCATTCGGGTTTAGCCGTCTTAAAAGACGTGCGGCTAAATCCGAATGTTTCTAGTTCTTGGTCTAGTGTTAGTTCTAGTTTTACAGTAGCACTATCACTAGAACTAACACAAGATCTAGAACTAGAATCATTCGGGTTTAGCCGTCTTGGGAGACGTGCGGCTAAATCCGAATGATTCTAGTTCTTGGTCTAGTGTTAGTTCTAGTTTTACACAAACATTATCACTAGAAATAACACAAGATTTAGAACTAGAATCATTCATGTTTAGCAATACTGAAAGACGTACGTCTAAACCCAAATGTTTCTAAACGGCTAACAACATCTAGAATTTTTCTAGTGTAATTTTATAGCTAAAAACAGATTATAGCTAAAACTAAACAAAAAAAAAAAGAATGAAAATAAATGATTTGGTTATTAAACATGCTCGAGCATGTTCCCTCATAATCCTAAGATGCGATGAAATTAATCAGACTTTAAACTGCGCGGCGTCGTAATTAGCCCCCCTAAATAATTAACGTATCTGAAAGCGGCGAGAAAGCGNATATCCAATTTGTGCAGACATCAAAGATGATTGTGTTGGGTTGAGAATGTCAAAAAGTGTCAAAAATGCCAAAAACAGCTACGTAAGTGTAACACTGCAAAAAATTATCAAAAAGGACAGGTTGAGTTGAATTCTGATGACGCACGGCTAAACCCAAAATTTCTAGTTGTATGTCTAGTATTAGTTCTAATTTTGCACTATCACTAGAACTAACGCAAGACCTAGAACTAGAATTATTCGGGTTTAGCCGTCTTGAGAGACGTGTGGCAAAATCCGAATGATTCTAGTTCTAGGTCTTGTATTAGTTATAGTTTTGTACTATCACTAGAACTAACACTAGACCGAGAACTAGAATCATTCGGATTTAGCCGTCTTAAAAGACGTGCGGCTAAATCCGAATGATTCTAGTTCTAGGTCTAGTGTTAGTTCTAGTTTTACACTAACATTATCACTAGAAGGAACACAAGACCTACAACTAGAATCATTCGTGTTTAGCAATACTGAAAGACGTCTGTCTAAACCCAAATGTTTCTAGACGGTTAACAACATCTAGAATTTTTCTAGTGTAATTTTATAGCTAAAAATAGATTATAGCTAAAACTTAAAAAAAAAAGAATGAAAATAAATGATTTGGTTATTAAACATGCTCGAGCATGTTCCCTCATAATCCTAAGATGCGATGAAATTAATCAGACTTTAAACTGCGCGGCGTCGTAATTAGCCCCCCTAAATAATTAACGTATCTGAAAGCGGCGAGAAAGCGCAAGAAAGAAGAAGAAACTGGAATTGAACGGCGAAGTGGGAAAGAGATGGGACGTCTTTTCGTGAAGGCCGCGAGTGTCTCTGATAAATGCTTACCGCTCTCCGCAATTATTATAATCAGCCGCTAAACGTCCTGTCAAAGGACGCCGCTTGTGTCGGCGGCTCGCTAAAAAGAGACGCGCGTGCGCACGTTTCTCGGCGTACCGTTTTTTTTACGACCGCGTTTTCCGTACGTGATCGCTTAACGACCTCGTTCACGTTAGAAATAGTAATAGTTTCGCGATCGGCGCCTCCTAGTTGTTCGAATCGACACCCGACATGGCCGTATTTGGAGTAAAAATGAAACACTACCAGTGGCGGAGGGGGTTAATAATAAAAAAAAAATTGTACCCTTAAATTAATATTTGTTATGAATTAAATTAATTAATATAAGTAATATAAAATAAATAAAATTTTTATCAAAAATATTCTTAAATAATACATTTAGATATTTATGTCACTTTTTTTCCAGTGGCGTAGAGGGTATCAAAATTGGACCAAATCACAATAAGTTAACTAAAAAATACCTTATAGAAAACAATAATTTATTATAATATTTATTAAATTTATTAATTTATCATTTTTCAAAAACCCGTAACATTTTTATTCCATTGCCAAAATTGGATTTTATACACTCACCGTATTCAGTAGGTCATTCCGCACATTTTGATACCAAGCAGAACGTATTATGACGAATATTTTCTATTTTATTTAATCTTTTCCGGCTTTATGTAAAATCTCCCGAAATTCTCTATTTTGTACGGGTTTTTATCTGGTTGCATGAAAATCCCTGATTTATTATTATCTTTCAAATTATATATTGAGTATGCTTTAAACCTCAGAGTGACATTGAGATTGACGATTTTTAACATTTTCCTTTTTGAATTTATCTCAGCCTATCCTTTTTTGACAGTTTCTAGCAGTTTTTGACAGTTTTGACACTATCAACCCAACACAATCATTAGTAAATGTAAAGTTTTGACGTTTTTTGCTGCTTTTTAAGTATATTTGACTTTTTTGACAATTCTAACATTTTTTGAATTTAAGAACTGAACTCAACCCGACATTTGTGATAGTTTCTAGCAGTTTTTATGCTTATCTAACTGTTTTTGACGCTTTTTGACAATATCAACCCAACACAATCATCTTTGTTATCTTCAGAATTTTGATATTTTCAAGGATATGTAAGTTTATGATGTTTTTTGCCACTTTTTAACTTCACCGGACTTTTTTTTGATATTTCTGACACTTTTTGAACTTTAGAAGCCAACTCAACTTGACAATTTTGACAGTTTCTAGTAGTTTTTATGCTTACCAGCTGCTTTTGAAATTTTTGACACCTTTTAACACCATTAACCCAACACAATCATCTTTGATGTCTTCACAATTTTTATATTTCCAATAATTTTTAAGTTTTTGATGTTTCCTGCCACTTTTATAACTACACCTGACTCGTATTGGCAGTTCTGACATTTTTTGAATTTATAAACTCAACGCAATCTGACATATTTGATACTTTTTGGCAGTTCTTATGCTTACCTAACTGATTTTGACATTTTTGACACATTATGACATTGTTAACCCAACACAATCATATTTGATATCTACACAATTTTGATTTTTTTCAAGGATTTGTAAGTTATTGCTGTTTTCTGTCACTTTTTAACTACACCAGACACTTTTTGACAACTGCCACATTTTTTAAATTTAAGAACTCAACTCAACATGTCCTTTTTGATAGTTTTTAGCAGTGTTTACACTTAACTAACTGTTTTTGGCATTTTTGACATTTTTTGATATTCTGAACTCAACACAATCATCTTTGATGTCTACACAAATTGGATATTTCTAAGAACATTTAAGATTTTGATGTTTTCTGAAATTTTTTAACTACACCTGACTGTTTTTGACAATTCTGACAATTTATTAAATTTGAGAACTCACCTCAACCTGACATTTTTAGCCGTCTTAAGAGACGTGCGGCTAAATCCGCATGATTCTAGTTCTAGGTCTTGTGTTAGTTCTAGTGATAGTGTAAAACTAGAACTAACACTAGACCGAGAACTAGAAACATTCGGATTTAGCCGCACGTCTTTTAAGACGGCTAAACCCGAATGATTCTAGTTCTAGGTCTTGTGTTAGTTCTAGTGATAGTGCTAGTGTAAAACTAGAACTAACACTAGACCTAGAACTAGAAACATTCGGGTTTAGCCGCACGTCTCTCAAGACGGCTAAACCCGAATGATTCTAGTTCTAGGTCTTGTGTTAGTTCTAGTGATAGTGCTAGTGTAAAACTAGAACTAACACTAGACCTAGAACTAGAAACATTCGGGTTTAGCCGCACGTCTCTCAAGACGGCTAAACCCGAATGATTCTAGTTCTAGGTCTTGTGTTAGTTCTAGTGATAGTGCTAGTGTAAAACTAGAACTAACACTAGACCTAGAACTAGAAACATTCGGGTTTAGCCGCACGTCTCTCAAGACGGCTAAACCCGAATGATTCTAGTTCTAGGTCTTGTGTTAGTTCTAGTGATAGTGCTAGTGTAAAACTAGAACTAACACTAGACCTAGAACTAGAAACATTCGGGTTTAGCCGCACGTCTCTCAAGACGGCTAAACCCGAATGATTCTAGTTCTAGGTCTTGTGTTAGTTCTAGTGATAGTGCTAGTGTAAAACTAGAACTAACACTAGACCTAGAACTAGAAACATTCGGGTTTAGCCGCACGTCTCTCAAGACGGCTAAACCCGAATGATTCTAGTTCTAGGTCTTGTGTTAGTTCTAGTGATAGTGCTAGTGTAAAACTAGAACTAACACTAGACCTAGAACTAGAAACATTCGGGTTTAGCCGCACGTCTCTCAAGACGGCTAAACCCGAATGATTCTAGTTCTAGGTCTTGTGTTAGTTCTAGTGATAGTGCTAGTGTAAAACTAGAACTAACACTAGACCTAGAACTAGAAACATTCGGGTTTAGCCGCACGTCTCTCAAGACGGCTAAACCCGAATGATTCTAGTTCTAGGTCTTGTGTTAGTTCTAGTGATAGTGCTAGTGTAAAACTAGAACTAACACTAGACCTAGAACTAGAAACATTCGGGTTTAGCCGCACGTCTCTCAAGACGGCTAAACCCGAATGATTCTAGTTCTAGGTCTTGTGTTAGTTCTAGTGATAGTGCTAGTGTAAAACTAGAACTAACACTAGACCTAGAACTAGAAACATTCGGGTTTAGCCGCACGTCTCTCAAGACGGCTAAACCCGAATGATTCTAGTTCTAGGTCTTGTGTTAGTTCTAGTGATAGTGCTAGTGTAAAACTAGAACTAACACTAGACCTAGAACTAGAAACATTCGGGTTTAGCCGCACGTCTCTCAAGACGGCTAAACCCGAATGATTCTAGTTCTAGGTCTTGTGTTAGTTCTAGTGATAGTGCTAGTGTAAAACTAGAACTAACACTAGACCTAGAACTAGAAACATTCGGGTTTAGCCGCACGTCTCTCAAGACGGCTAAACCCGAATGATTCTAGTTCTAGGTCTTGTGTTAGTTCTAGTGATAGTGCTAGTGTAAAACTAGAACTAACACTAGACCTAGAACTAGAAACATTCGGGTTTAGCCGCACGTCTCTCAAGACGGCTAAACCCGAATGATTCTAGTTCTAGGTCTTGTGTTAGTTCTAGTGATAGTGCTAGTGTAAAACTAGAACTAACACTAGACCTAGAACTAGAAACATTCGGGTTTAGCCGCACGTCTCTCAAGACGGCTAAACCCGAATGATTCTAGTTCTAGGTCTTGTGTTAGTTCTAGTGATAGTGCTAGTGTAAAACTAGAACTAACACTAGACCTAGAACTAGAAACATTCGGGTTTAGCCGCACGTCTCTCAAGACGGCTAAACCCGAATGATTCTAGTTCTAGGTCTTGTGTTAGTTCTAGTGATAGTGCTAGTGTAAAACTAGAACTAACACTAGACCTAGAACTAGAAACATTCGGGTTTAGCCGCACGTCTCTCAAGACGGCTAAACCCGAATGATTCTAGTTCTAGGTCTTGTGTTAGTTCTAGTGATAGTGCTAGTGTAAAACTAGAACTAACACTAGACCTAGAACTAGAAACATTCGGGTTTAGCCGCACGTCTCTCAAGACGGCTAAACCCGAATGATTCTAGTTCTAGGTCTTGTGTTAGTTCTAGTGATAGTGCTAGTGTAAAACTAGAACTAACACTAGACCTAGAACTAGAAACATTCGGGTTTAGCCGCACGTCTCTCAAGACGGCTAAACCCGAATGATTCTAGTTCTAGGTCTTGTGTTAGTTCTAGTGATAGTGCTAGTGTAAAACTAGAACTAACACTAGACCTAGAACTAGAATCATTCGGATTTAGCCGCACGTCTTTCAAGACGGCTAAATCCGAATGATTCTAGTTCTAGGTCTTGTGTTAGTTCTAGATCTTGTGTTAGTTTTAGTGATAGTGTAAAACTAGAACTAACACTAGATCTAGAACTAGAATCATTCGGATTTAGCCGCACGTCTTTCAAGACGGCTAAACCCGAATGATTCTAGTTCTCGATCTTGTGTTAGTTCTACAGTGTGTTAATTAATAATCGTACCCGACTTTATCATTACAAGTATGCAACCAACATGACAATAGTCGTATTGCAATACGCATATTGTAATATTGGTTGCATACTTGCCTCAAAAAAAAAATTGAAAGTGATTTTTTCTACTTACTTTTTCGTTTTGGTACGCTGTTACTGCGATAAATTCGGTTTCCTTGAAGACGTACGTCCGAAACGTTGAGTATGGTAGTTTTAGGATGTCGTTTGCTCTGACGAGGTGGAACCGAGGTTGGTATTTGTGCATTGAGTTTAATATCGTCTGGAACATAAGAATAAGTAAATCTTATTAAAAAAAAATCTTTTTTTTATTGATCTTTTTGATTAATGTTGAAATATGTAAAAAAAGGGGGGCGATATCTAAATTTTTGCGATATTTTGAGTCGAAGAAAAAAAAATTAAAGCGGGCGAGACGGAAACTGACAGCTTTATGCAATATTCATGCCCGTGAAGGACTTGTCCGTCTCTTCTTTCTCTTTGTGCTTATACGGCGTGTGCTTTTTAGAATAACGAGGTCTCGCGGATTTTTTTAAAAAACGTCGTTTTTGATACTTATTGCGATTTCTGTCGAATCGCTCCGATTTGAATGAACGAGCGAGCGAAATCTTTCTTTTTTTGAAAGGATAAAAAAAGATAGAAAGCGTGTCAGACCTCGGTTTTTGGGGCTCCTCGGTTCCTCACGGTTTACTTACTTGCATCTTAAACAAAAGAGAAAATACTTTAAAATTCATAATCAAAATCGTTTTAATTTTTATTAAATTTAAAAAAAAAATAATAATAATAACGAGAAGACCGTCTTGGATGATTTGGGAGGAAAAGAAAGGGAAAAAAGACGCGAAATGAAATGCGTGTTGCGTGATCTCCTCTTTTTCAGTTTTTACGACCGAAAGGCATCGTTTTCGCCGTAATCCAGAGGTGGTCCGCTAATTAATAAGCCGCGGGATGGCGCGACGGTCGCGACGGTTGCGGCATCCGGTCGGTCGGCTTTGATCGCGAAAATATAATCAACATAAACAAGTCGCGCCGATATTAAAATCGTCGTCTTCGTCGTCTTCGGCGCAACACACACTCATATTTATATTCCTCGCCGGTTTTGTGCATCGCAATTATCAAGTCATCTCTTGTTGGGGGCCCGAAACCGCGGTCTCTCTGCATAATTCGAACATTTGGATGCCGCGACGCGCCTCACCCCACCCAACCAACTTACTTAGACTCTTCTTTCGCCTCCTCTTACTTATATTCCTTCAACGAAGGAAAACTGGATGAATTGCTCTATTTGAAGCGACCCGCCGACGACAAACTTCTCTCCTTCTCTCACGTAGCGAAGAAGGAGGACTCGCGTACCAAAGAGTCGAGGATGAGGTGTGATCCGAATGTTAAGGCCGCTTTTGATTTAGTGCTTGCGTCGTTAGCGCGCAAGTGATTTTTGACACGATACGTGACGGCGTTCGTTATTGTCCAATTACGCCCCTCTCCACTTTAAAGTGGACTTTCAAACTCCCGAGAAGAACTACATCCGTGAGAAACTTACTTACGATCCATAACTGCGATTAACTCGGAATTTTCGGCACATTTAACACCCTGAAGATGTCACAACCCAACCGAAACTCTGTACTCTGTACAGGGTGGTTCAAATTCGATGTCCGAATAACTTAGCTGATATCTTCCTTATTATTAGAGATAGCCAAAAACTAAACGCACCACTTGAAAGCTTCAATCTTTCTCTATCTAAAAGCACCGCGCTGCACTTAAAATAGCTCAAAATTACCAAACTTCAAGGAATTGTGCGATTGTTATGAAACCGAATTTTAAAAAACTGTTATCACAGTCAGAAAGGGCGCTCCTTCAGCTATCTTAATCCGGGATTTCGTCGGTCAATATCTATCCGCGTCATGCTTAAATCACCCTTAATGTCCACCCCTACACGCAGAAACGCTTAAATACCCTTCTTCTAAACAACTTTCTTATTTGATTGGGAGAAAACTCTAGAAACATATCTATCTTATCGAAAATTTCTTGCTCTTTCTAGTGGTGTATAATACGTATAATGCATTTTTGGCCAAAAACTGCGAAATTCACATTCTATTCTTAAGCCCTCTAGCAGAAAAACAAAAGACGATAGCGCTATGAGGTTTCCGGCATTAGCAGTTTCTCGAAAAACGAGATCATGACATGTCAGCTACTTTTCTTCTAACTCTTATAGTTTTCGAGTTAGCCTATTCGGACATCGAATTTGAACCACCCTGTACAGAGCGTTCAAATTCG